AAATCTAAATTCCCTATAAGAAGGACAAATAGTGCACAGACGGCCCCTATGAATCCAAAAGCAATCATCAGCAAAGTGCTGCTAATTCTAAACTTACAACAGCCACATGCTGAACACTACTGGCGACCCCAGCGGGTAAGTGGTACATTTAAAATCAATATTTTCTTTACTTGTATTACTTGAGTGTTTCTGATAGAGATCATGGTGTGCACTGATTAACTTCAGTGGTTTATGCTGTGATAAACACAATCTCACATTGTGATTTTGTGCCAAATTGGATGTGATTGTGAAATTTCAATGAAGAATACTGCAAAGTGAATTCTAATTTTCTAGTACAAGAGCACAATATTTGCAACAGCCAGGAGCTTGCCTGGGAATGGCCATTGAAATAACAGCTTCACATTGCACAACAACGCTTGGTATACTAAGCGACGCTTAAAAATCCATGTAAGGTACAGTTCCTGATTTGTAACATTCAGTACAGTATCCTGTCTTCATTCAGTTGGCACATCCTCTAGCACAGAAATTGTCTCAGAGGCCAAAGACAAAGACTTTTCTTTCCAAAGTCAACGTGTACACTGTGTGTTTCACTGATCAAAATATTTTCATCCAAAGAGATGCAGCAAAGTCTTTGGATGATTAGTAAATCAGAGAGCACTCTCCCTAAGTTCCTCTATGAGGTGTTCAGACTGAACACAGAGTGAATTTTAGAGACGATGTGTGCATACTACAAGGTCAATTGAAGGATTGAGTGCACACAAGCAGAAGGGAAAAAAGAAAGAGAGAAAATTGTTTTTAAAAAGAACTGATGTTGAAGTTTTAAAATCACACAGAGCTGTACATAGCAACTACAAGTATGTGCTTGTCGTCAGCTAGCCAGCTGTCAGTCAGTCTGTACTGTCACATCCACTGTCTGTGGTTAATAAACAGGGACTGCAAAAAATCACCATGGTCACTTTTGTGTGAACAAAAAAGAAATCTGTTTTAGTAGCTGCCTTTAGTTACTCTATTTGTTTGATGTTTCATTTACAGCCCGAGAATAAGAGAGTATCTTTCAGTTACAGTTTTTCTCCATTGCTTAAACACTATAACCAGGCTTTTTAACTAAAATTTCAAGTTATGAAAATGTGTTGTTTGGTGTGTTGTACTGTACAGTACAGTACACTAAGGAATATAAAGTATGTGCAAATATGCAAATGTATACATTTGTTATTTCTTTTGTGTTTTTTGAGGGGGAGAACCACAAGCAAAATAAGTAATAAGCTGTTTTTGTAGTATGGTTTTGTATTTATCTTACCAGTGTGTAAAACTGTGTGTTATGTCTGAGGGCAAAGTTTGGTTTTTCAGCAAGATCGAATGGTTTTTAGTGGAGAGCTTCATTTTGACCTGAAAATAGGATGTTTGGGGAATTGGGTGAGAAGTTGTGGATTTGTGTTTAGAGTTCGGATAAAAAGAGGAATCATTTATGAAATGTGTTTAAGTAATTGAGAAAAACTGTAAAAAAAAAAATATATATATATATATATATATGTATAAAAAAATGATAAAAATATGACATGATCTCATGTGCTTGGTATCACAGATAGTGTCAATTAAAACATAGCTGTTCAGGAGTATGGGGGACAAGGACATCAGGTATATCTGGACCTTCTCCTCTGACTCTTTACTTGTCTGTAACTACATTTAGCTGTGTATGTGTGGTTGTGAATGTGGTTTTGTGCAGCCATGTGTGTTTACAGATGTGAAGGCTTAGCAGGGTACTGACCACCTGGTGCTTGACAGGCATGTTTGCTGCACAGCAGGTAGCATGGGCACATCTCCAGAGGCATCATTACACAACCTTGTTCCCTTTTCATACTTTCTACTTTTAGTGGCTTCATTTGTTTGATGGTTAAGGACATTCTCTCTCACTGTCAAAATTAAAAGGCCTTTGATAGTAACATTAATCAGTGGTCCTGTGCATTCTAAGCTCAGGAATCTCAGGAGGATCTGCAAAGACAAATTTGTAATTACTGGTGATTAGTTTTTCTAACAAGACAAAATAATAACTGTGCATTAAATCCTGTTTTTTTTTTTTCATTAAGACAGATTATTGTAAATGTGGACATCAAAGTCATTCTTGTGCATTCATTTCACTCGTGGCAGAGTACAGCATGAATGTGGAGGCCATGGTGTCTGTGCTGCTGTGTGTGTCGTCGTGGGTGCGTGTGTGTGTGCTATAAACCCTTGAGCCGTGAGAGGTTATAGCTTTGAGGGCCCAGCCCCTCCAATTATAACACGTTAAAGGCAGAATTCTCTTTACTTCTCTCCGCAGGGAACCGACAGAGAAGGCTCGTCTGGTTTCTCACTCTACCCAGAGTAATAATTACCTGAGATAATTAACTTTCCTCTCTCAAGCAATTAATGCCATTTCCAGGGGCAATGGTTTGGGATTCAGGCAGGGACTGGGGGTTATGCACAGACTTAGAAATTAACAGCAGGGAGCTTTTTTTTTTAAACTGTCTTTATTAACCACTTTGAGACATGAAACTATGAGACTCGAGAGCCACAGCATTCTGTAGTCAACTGTAAAACAGGAAATTGGAACTGATGTCGGTGTGTTTGCTTTTTGCCCTCTATGAATACTGTTTTCACTCCTCTAGTTTCCCACTAAATACTATGTCAAAGAACACCTGTTTGCTCATGAGAAAGGTAAAGTAGCAATACACACACAGCTGTGGGGCCTGTTAAATTAAACCATATCACTCATACACCTCCACAGGTATACAAACAACCCCGCCCACCCATCCAAAACAACTGTTCTGACAGTGTCACATGGAGCAGCTTTCAAATGAATGGGATCAGGATCAAAATCATACATGGCTGCTTCTGATCCCGCTGTGTGTGAGTGAGTGGGTGTGTGCGAGACTGTGTGTGTTTGTGCACACGTGTGAATATGCGAAGCTGATAGCTGTCACATGCAGCTGCCACCATGGGCTGAGTGCTCATACGCTGGTGCCAGTGTCTCATCATGGGGTATGCAAAACATTGTGAGAAAGTGACCCACTCACAACCATTCATTCTTTCTCTTGGAATTATGCAGCTCCAGAGATAGAAGGACACACAGCAGGGAAAGACGAACACTCAACCCATTGTAGGGCAACTGATCTCACCAACTCATATCTAGTTAGTTACACTGATACTGTAGTATGTTATTCATTAATAGAATGGGGAATTAACAATATCTGTGGTTTACAATATACAGTCGCAGGTAGATGAGCAAGAGCTATGTTTCGTCAGCGCTGCATAGTCAGCTGTGCTATGTTAGCTTTTGAATGTTTTCCCTCCTAAGAAGTACGTGCATTATGCAGTGTTATAACACAGCACAAAAGGTGAGATGGCTTCCCAAAGGTGATAGACCACACATACTGTATATCTTGCCTTTAAATGTATAACTTCAAATATATATTTTACATTTATCTCATTGTCTAGAGACATCTACAAATGGTGATTGATATTTTTACCTTTATTTTAAAGAAGTCATATTATGCTTTTGGCTTTTTATTAAGACTACAGATCAGTCTATGCTACAGACAATCAGCTTTCAATTTAGCTGGTTTGTAACATTTGGCTAATGCCTAGCTAACGTTAGCTGTGCTTGTACAAAACATACAGGATGAGAGACTGTGGACAGAGCTGTTTAAATGAACTGTTTCTACTTGTTTACCCTACACACAGGTGTATTGATAAAGTATATACTTGTGAAGGTTTTATTGCAGTACTTACAGTAACGAGCATAGCTGTTGGCTACGCAAGTAGTTTGGGGCTAACTTAACTTCACCACCTCCACCGTGACGGTGCACTGCGGTCAAGTGAGCTGTCGTTTGACAGCGCGCCGTCTCTCTCTGCTGGCCGCTGTGTGTGTTCATGTGTTTAGCTCAGGACATGACATGTGTATAAGATTTATGTGGGGTATCAGTGTGGCATTTTCTATTTCTGCTAAATGTAACTGACCTATGTATCTGATAATGTGGGTCAGAGGATGCACATACAGAATGAGTGTAGGTGTAACCGGCTATGACTTTTTTATCCTGCCTTTATGGCTAATGGTGCCTAATGGTCTGATATATAATATTATTTTATGTTATAATATTATTTTTAATAATTATATAATATTAGGACCTGTTCTTGGAACATCCGTGGCCTCCAAAAGCCTGCCAAGAGGATGGCAGTTTTATCATTTTTGAAGAAGGAAGAGGTTTCTATTGCGTTTCTCCAGGAGAGGTACTTGGAGGACAAGGATAATGCTAAATTGCAAAGGAGTTGGGTGGGGCACATCTTTGCTACCTCATATTCTTCTTTCAGTAGGGGCATAGCCATTTTGATTAGTAAAAAGCTTGCATTTTGGTCTCTTGATTGTGTTAAAGACAGCCAGGGTCGGTATGTAATTGTTACAGGAATACTCGCAGGAAAAGAGGTAACATTTATGAATCTACAATATATTGTCCCCCAGCCTATTCCCCGATTTTCTCTCCAAGGCTTTTGCAGTTTTTATGGAACGGGCTTCAGGGGACTCTTTTGTGCGAGGAGATTTCAATTGTCACCGTAATCCCTTAATTGATAAAATTCCGTCTGACATTTCTTCCCCTTCTAAGCAAGTGAGGGTTCACACTAATGTAGCCAGGTTAAAAATGCTATACATTGTGATTAACTGATAAAAAGCATATAAAGTATGTGATCTAGTTAAAACAAATTCATTGTTGTTAAAAATGTGGTTTACAAGCTATTTCATAAAAGATTAAAAAGCTACAGTGTAATAAATACGTTAATAATATGTGCAGTTATAAACGTTTTATTTTGAAGAGCTCTGTCTAGTAAAGAGGAAGTGGTATGTAAGAATAAGGGTAATACTGGTCATTCATCGGTCTATGCGGGGGGTTCAGAGGTGCACAGGAAGAGAGAGTGAGAATGTAGAGGAAAAAACAACAGTGGGAGCTTGACTACGATCGAACGCGATGCGAAGTGTGTGAAGTTCATGCAAAGTAGTATGTAGTAAGCTGGGGTTGTCCACTTGACTGTCCACTCGACAGTCTTACCACAGAATACCGTCCTGCGTACTTTTGTGAGAAGTTAGACATTTCTTCCCGAAATGTATCGTACAGTTATTCACGTGTGTATCACAGCTGTTTGCACACAGTGTTTTGTGGTAGCATTCATTAGCACAGTGAATGGACTCTTAGCCAGTATAGCTAACGTTAACTCAGCTGTATACTATTGGACTAGTTCACGGGTTTCGACGTGAAAACCCTGAAGAGTTATCTGAAAGCTACAACTGCGAAATCAAAGCTCTGAGTTCTTTAGAAAGAGGGACAGCGACCACGCCAGTTTGGACGCATGCTCGCACCCCTGTTCACCCCAGCGGCAGAGCGCGGGACAGACCACGCCATCTTTGGACACCTGCTTGCCCTTGTTTTGCTGGAGACCGGGAAAGACTGTTGAACTCTGCACAGTGGACTGAACTGTTGCTTAAGGTAAAAACTCTTTCATTCTGTTGCTCCTTTGAGTGAAGTGGACCAATAGTTTAAGTATCGAATCTCTAAAGCATCGCAACAGGCCTGCAACGAAGTTTGGGGTTTTATTTTATTTTATATGCGGGCTTGTGTCTGTGCGTGCTTGGTGAGTGTGGGCCCACTGTGTTAACATTAGAGTTGAATTTGAACTGAAGGTAACTGAAAAGTTGTTATAGTGTGTTTACACAAGTAAAAGGGGATTAATATTATTGCGTTACCCTGGTATTCAAGAAAAGGGATATTCCAAAGAGACTGAAAATACATTTATTTTATTGTTTATGTTAAAATTGCCAAAGTAAAATGGGGATTTATTATTTCTAAACTAACCCTGGTGTGTTGCATTGTTATTACTTTTACCAAAGGTATATTCAACACATAAGGTAAATGTCTGTGTTTTGTTGACAAGTTGGTACATTTATTTTATTGCAGCATGCTAGTTACTCTAATGAAGGTTTAGTGTGACTTTACAGAGCTAATAGACGTTAGATGAACCTAGCTTAGTGACAGTAGTGTTGCAAAACATTTGAGATAAATACAGAAACCCAAGACAATTAATGTGTATAGAGACCAAAGATAAAAAGGAACCTTATTTCAAGTATTCAGTTAGTTTGATTTAAGAACTCAGGGCCCCACCCTGCTTAAGATAGGGAAAGGTGGGCTACACTAATATAAGTCGTGGTATTGACTATTGTAATTTGTGGAGGCAGCTTCACCCTATTGATATAAAAGGTATACCACAATTGATAACATTTTCATCCCGTCCTCAAAAATGTCTCTCGCTTCATCATGTTCTGTAGGCAACATTGTGTTATCAGACCACACCCCCCTTTATTTGGTATATTCTATTGAGGCTGAGGAGATTTCAACCTTATCTTCTTAAAGATAACAAGTTTATCTCCATTACTTCAGAATTTAAGATTTTTTATTCTATCAACTCATCATCCTCATATAATCCCTCTGTCCTCTGGGAGACGTGTAAAATATACTCTTGTGGATAAATTATGTCTTTTGTTGCATCCAAAAGAGTGGAAAGAATGACAGGCGTAAACTTCTCAAATCTTGATTAACTGAATTGGAGAAAAATCACTTATCTGGCCCGAGTCCTGATTTGCTCAAGGAACTGTTATATGCACGTGCTGCATTGAAAACTTTTCTGATTCAGGACTCTGAACAGTCCCTTAAATTTGCCAGGCAGAAACTTTATGAGTTTGGGGATAAACCTGGAAGATATCTTGCTAATCTCGTCAAGAAGAGGGCAGATTCTCAAAATATAGTCTCTATTACTGACTCTAATGGTGTTAGATCGTTCGATACTAGAATCATTAATAAACACTTTGCATCATTTTATTCCAACCTATATAGTTCTGAACAGCCCTGACCCTCATGTGTCAGTTTTTTTGCAGATTTAAGACTTCCCAAGGCTACAGATGATCAAAAATTACAACTAAATGCCCCAATTACAAGAGAGGAAGCGCTACTTGCTTTGAAATCTATGCCGTCTGGTAAGGCCCCATGGCCAGATGGGTTTAGATGTGAGTATTATAAGGAGATTTGTGGTATTCTTTTAGACCCTCTACTGTCTATGCTCAATCATTCATTTATAAATGGGATCCTACCTCAATCCATTAGGGAGGCCAACATTTCTCCCATCCTTAAAAAAGCTGCTTCTCATACTGGCCGATAGCCCTACTTTAATCTCCAAAATTTTATGTCTTAAGTCTAGAGAAGGCTCTGCCCCATTTTGTTAAGGAGGACCAAACTGGTTTTGTCAAGGGCCGGTGATAATGTGAGGAGGCTCCTTAACATCATCCACTGGGTCGAGTGGTCGTATCTGTTCTATGCTCTGGAAGAATTTGGCCTAGGCGACAATTTTGTGAAGTGGATTAGGGTTCTGTATAATACTCCGACGGTGGCAGTTCTGACTAATGGGCTTAGATCTGACAATTTCTCCCTCCACCGCGGGAATAGGCAGGGCGACCCCCTCAGCCCTCTGCTCTTTGATATTGCTATTGAACCGCTGGCCCAAGCAGTAAGGCAAAACACTTTAATTTCTGGTATCTTCGTTGGTGAAAGGGAACACAAAATTACCTTATACACGGATGACATTTTGATCTATCGCAACCCCAAACTTCTGATCCCTGCCTGATTATGGTCATTTCATCATTCGGTGTCTGTTTAAGACTGTGGATCAGCTGGTAAACCCAACCCCTCCTTGTGCCTCAGCTGGAAGTAATGATGATTGTGAATTGTTTTTATCTTATTTTACCAATAAGGTGGTGTCAATCAGAGCCTCTATTACCCCCACTGCCTCTTACTCAGAGGTCCCTCACCAGCAACAAGAGAGTTTTAACCAGTTTAATCCCATCGACTTGTCTGAGCTTTTAAAAACAGCATCACAAACCTACAAAGTTTTTACTGAAATCAATGGATTCTATTGGGCCCCATTTGATCTCTGTTTTTAACAGCTCTCTATCTACTGGTTGTGTCGCAGATTATTTTAAAACAGCTTGCGTGAACCCACTTTTAGAGAAACCTGGTTTAGATCCCTCCCTCCCACATAATTTTAGACCAATTTCAAAACTGCCTTTTATTGCAAAGATTTTAGAAAGAATTGTGTCCAAACAGCTGCTCACTGTATTGGAAAATAGCAAATTATTTGAAAAGTTTCAATCTGGTTTCAGGAAGTACCACAGCACTGAGAGTGCCCTGCTTAAAGTCACCAATGACCTTTTAATGTCTGCTGATGAAGGTATGTGCTCAAGTCCTGGTACTCCTGGACCTTAGCGCTGCTTTTGACACCACTGATCACAACATCATGTTAGACAGACTGAGGCACTGGGTGGGGATATCTGGTACTGCCCTAGAATGGTTTTCATCCTACCTGTCAAATAGGAAGTTTTGCGTGTCTGTAAACAACTATGTCTCTTCGTTCTGTCCAGTTAAATATGGTGTGCCTCAGGGGTCGATCTTAGGACCCATTTTGTTTTCCTTGTATCTGCTTCCCCTTGGACATATTATCCATAAACATGGCATTTCTTTTCATATTTATGCTGATGACACACAAATATACTTGCCCGTCAGATCCACAGACCCTGGAATGCTGAGTTCACTTAACAACTGCCTTTGTGAAGTTAAAAAATGGATGTCAAATAATTTCCTCCAGCTGAACTCAGACAAAACAGAAATCCTGGTCATTGGGTCCCAGCAGATGGCAAAACAAATACTGCCATGTGCTGGTTCCCTAGTAAATCACATTAAGCCTGTGGCAAAGAACCTTGGTGTTTGGTTTGATAGTAATTTAAATTTTGAGCAGCACACCACAAAGCTTGTTCAATCATGTTTTTATCAACTTAGACATTTTTTTAGTTTTAGAATTTACTTTAAAATTTTATTGATCACTTTTAAAGCTCTTCATGGCCTCTGGCCTTGTTATATTTCTGACCTTTTAGTCCCATACATACCAGCATGTACCTTGAGATCCTCGGGCAGAGGTCTGTTGTCTGTTCCAGAGTCTCGACTGAAAACTAAAGGGGACAGAGCGTTTGCTGTCAGGGCCCCGAGGCTCTGGAACAGCCTGCCCGAGGAAATCAGGTCGACTGAGTCAGTGAACTCTTTTAAGTCCCTTCTTAAAACATACTTTTATAGGAGAGCCTTTCCCGATCTTATTTGACTTTATTTTATCCAGTTTATTTTATTCTATTTTACTTATTTTATATTTATCTTAAACGTGTATTTTATTCTTTTCAATGCTTTCTTGCTTTTATCTTTTATTGTTTTTGTATTATTCTCTTTTGGGTATTATTGTCTTTACACTTGTTAAAGCACTTTGTAACTTGTTTTTGAAAAGTGCTCTACAAATAAAGATTATTATTATTATTATTATTTTCGGGATATAAAATTTACTTTGCAAAATCTGAGGCTATGCCTCTGGGGTCTGTAACATGTGTTCCAGATATGGCTGAGCCATTCACCAGGGTGCAAATTATACAGTGACAACTGGGGGGGTCAACTTTTTTCCCAGGTCAAAAGAGGAAACCCAGTACAGCGCAGGCGCGTGCTTCAGTGAACTAAAATCTTACAAAGCTTACAATATCCTTGCTTATTTAACTTATGTCTACAGTATGTAGATGATGATAAATCAAATTCATTACACCAGTTCACGAGTGCCCCATACCACACAACAACTTTTGTAGATAGGGGTCACCAAGTATTCTAGAGCTAACTGCCAGCAAGTCAGTCACACAAAAGCAGACCATGATGAACGCTCAGACCAGACCCACACAATGCTGAACCAGAACCAAAGACACTATCATAAAATACAGTCTGCATTATCATATCTAATTCCTAATTCTTATCATTCCCATCAAGTTTAAAGTTTCAACTTTAACAATATCTCCCTTGCTCTTGCTCATGTTGACTGTTCATGATGTAATCTGCGTCCAATAAAGCAGTAGTCAGACACTGTTGTTGGGGAATTGGGAACTTTTGGGAATTCCAGAGTTGAAACAAATGCCATGTTTTTTGTGAAAGGACTCACAAAAGACTTAAAATGAAATAATAAACTATATGTTGATGTAAAAATGTATCTCTACAATAACTAATCCCCAATTTCACTGTTCATGCCTAAGCACCAGTGTTAGCTGACAATTACATAAAATTTTAAATTACATAGTGATAATAAAATGACAGGGTAGGCTCTCAGCTAGCTAACATCAGATATCTTATTTTAAGTGAAGGAAATGCTAATTACGAAACTCTGAATTTTTTATATTTTCGCTGAATCTCAATGAATGCTGAATCTACTGAGTGTAATAAAATATTAACAACTCTAAACGTTCATAAAATATATACTTCGAATCATTTATCACCATTGATGAACCCAACAAAGGATATTGTACCGTTTATAAGCATTATTTGGAGGTGCATGCAATTCTCTGCTGGCATGCAAAACTCGGCATAACACCGGATATTCCCATAACATGCGGAGACATAGCTGGCAACATGCCAGCTTGAAACACATTTCTGAGGACCTCTCCATTTTTGGATCAAGATCAATGGCCATCAGGTTCATGCGACTTTTGTTTCTGTTTTGGAACCCATATGTCTTGTTTATTACAGCCATGTGTAACGTGAACTACTGACGTAACTACGCTTGCTGTAGCCTGGTTTATTCACTCCAAATAAGCTGATGGAAATGCAATTTCTTTTTGTATTTCTTGCGACATTTCAAAAGTGCGCTTAAAATTTCTATGACAATTAGATGGAAACATGGCTAGTGACAAGACATCCGCCCACTGCGCTACACTGAAGTGACTTTGTTTTGGTTCACAATACCTTGAGCCACCCTACTCTGCTTCTAAATGGCTGGTAGTCCTTAACTAGGTACTGCACATGCGCAACTCCCAAAAAAGCTTCACTCGGTAGCTAAAACGAACACACAGGGTGAAAAGAGCTGCTGCAGCAATGTGCAGTATGACAAAAAGATTGGTGTTTTTTGAAAATTAAACTATGTTAAACCTATTCTGGTACAACCCCTAAATAAAATTAATCAACTCATACTGAGTCTTTCAATGCATAGTCCACAGTAATACTGTGCAAAAAGTAGGCAATTTGGTTGTAATGACCCCTTGATCTTCCCTGTATTGCAATCATTAGGCCAAAAAAGTAACTTGTATATAGGATATGTCAAGATTTAACCAGAAACTGAAGCCTTTTATGCTTCCCAGGGGACCTTTGTTCGTTCTGGTAAATATGCAGTCTTGTGCCAACAAGACATTACATAATGAATTTGGATACATAACAGGACATTTACTGTGGGCATTAATGTCCCAAAAGGAAACATTCTGCATCCCAGAGGTCAGACTTTACAAATATAAACACTCCTACCAATATGTTTCTATCAAGCTTTGTCGACAGCCTGCTCATGCATTCTGTAGTATGAGCAGGCTGTAGGACAGGCAGGACAGTCCTATCTGTTTTTAGAAGCTTTAGAACTTTATTTTATACAATATTTGTAGCAAACACTAGCAGACTAATTTTATAAGGTGCAAACAGCAGTTCTGTGTTTGCTCAGTTCAGCACACTATGTGGTGTGTTTTTGTTCCCACCATGATTAGCTATATTTTCTTTTCGAACACTAATCTACAAAAATATTTTTATTTATTTAACATCATTCACTATATATCAGTAGATTTCAACAGCACCACACACAACTAACAGCCTCCAAACAGACCCCTCTGACACTCATAAATAATCAGCTTCATAAAGGTCAGATTCATCAGATTAATGTTGCAGCCTCAATATTACCTAACTGTACCTCATAAACTGGCAAGTCAGAGTGCAGTTTTAAACATGCAATATCCATTTCTTTCTCTCATATACAGGTACAAGAAAGTAAAAACACAGCATTAACATGCACACAGAAAGTGACTAAAGTGACTAAAATATCAAGAGACGCTGAACCCTCCAGTCTTTCATTTTAATAAAGGGTAAGCTACAAAAACACTTTCTCTGAGGAATCTAGGATGTATGAAAGGAGAATCATTAAATTTGTGTATGACAGAGAAAGAAAGATAGTGATGGGGGAAGTAGGTGAAAGAAAGACAGCATCAGAGAAGGAGGTGGCATTTAAAATGTTTAGCTGTTGTTGTTGTTTGTATCCCATTACCATGGGAAGCAAAATGACCACACTGTGTCATCAACAGTGAGTAAATGACAGTGAGAGAAGGAGTGTCACCTTTAGAGTGAGCAATCAACAATACCTGGAATGGCTTATTGTGTCCATGACAAACACAATAAGCCCATAATTTAGGCTGTTTTTGGCTGCCAGGAACAGATAATGTGCTTGTTAAATATTCATCTAATTACTATAATAAAATACCATTCAATAAATCCTCAAGTCTAACCTATTCCTTAACTAAGTTCTTGTTTCAGGTTCAAATAGAGCAGGTGAAAATTAAATAATCTCCAATGTAAAGCAGAACCACTGCAGCAACAAGTTGTAAAATGATATACAAAGAGGACTTTACAATGGAGCAAACAGAAAGTAGTTTGTATACAGTATAGCAGGGAGTGGTATGAAAATGTGCAAAACGAATGGATCCTATTGCTGTACAATATAGCAACAGTATTACATCATGCCCTTCCACAGTAGCAATAATTCCTGATAAATAAATGTAAGCTTTGTGCATTACAAAAAGTAGAAGAATTCTAAAAATTAAATATCCTTTAAAAATCAGGACGCTTTTAGTTGATACAATTTCCTGATTTTGAAGAAAAGCTGCTTGAAAAGTAGCCATTGTGCCAAAAGCAGCTGAATGTTTTCTGTGAACTATGACAAGAATGAGTGAATCTGAGGAAATATTTAACACTGAGGGTGGATGATCGTACTGTAGGAGGAGGAAGTTGTCTGGTTAGGTTGGTCTGGGACAGATGCAATGGTGGCTATTACCAGCACTAGACGGTACCTGGAGAAGGGAGAGGAATGTAGACAAGGGGGCTAAAAGGAGGGATTAGAGGATGAAAGGATGGGAATGGGCAGAGGGACGGATGAGGTGGGAAAGTAAATTGACTTCCGAGCTCAGGATGAAAAAAAGTAAGACAAACAGAATGGGATGGGTTAATAACACTAAGTAGGCTTGAAAGGTGATTAGAGACATGGCCCTGGTTGGAAACCTGTTAACTAGTTCATTATGTTTGGGCTGACAATGGCCTCTTGTGGCCATGGGAATTGATACTGTTGACTCTCAGAAGCAAAAGCAAAAGTAGCATGACATTATTTATAGCACTGCAAAACCTCAGAGTGTCCTCTGAAGAAGTCGTTGCTTTCTTATGTTTATTACAAGACACTGTAATTAACAAAAACATAAACTTGTTTATGCTAATTTAATATTACAAATGCAGTGTGTAATATTGTATATTGCATCGTTTATGGAATCATTTTGTCTTTTTATTGAAAATACTTATTTACCTTTAAATTTTTTACCTAACCCTTTTGCTCCCTGATCAACATGAGCTGAAATGTAAAACGCTTGATTCAATTGTCTCAGTATTACTCTATTGTTGCCAGTAGCCACCACACAAATATCTGATATATAAAGAAGATATATTAATCTGATCCTGTTATGTAGTACAAATGTAAGCAAGTGATACATTTGTGCCATTAGTTGTTTGCTTTTTCAATGTCAAGAACCAGAACTTTAATGAGATAAAGTAACAGAGGATGAAAGGCAAAGGATAAAAACGGCGATGTGAGAGTGGCTGATGATGTTCCTGTGAACAAATGCTGCTTTCATCATTTCAGTGCTGGATCTGTTAGATCATTTTTTTGTGTTAGGTCACTCATTTAGCAGCTAATGGGTTGTTATCAGCAGTGCACCACCCAGTGGCTCAGAGTGGCCTCAGGCTTACAGCATGAAGCAGTCTCGTTATCCATTTCTACTCTGTGATCACTGTGTTTTCTGTCTAGTAAACAACAATCATACTGGGAAAAAATCACTTAAAAAAATTTCAGATTATTATGACAATCCAGCAAGTGTCTAATTTACATTCATCTTAGATTTTGAGCCACTGCAATGTCTTTTAGCCCCTGACATTTCTCTCAGTGAATCACTGTGTTTTTTTTGGTCCTGTGGTGTTGTTTCTTTTAGCTGGGTTCATCTGCATACAGTTAAGGAATTGCCTTCCTCACTGCACCCTGACTTTTTGGGTTCTTTCTCTTTAAATTATATGGAGGATCCAGGGGATCGCTGGATTATTTCTTCGCCTCTTCAGTTTTCACAAGTTAGCATACATAAAAACAGTTGGCTACAAATGGCTATGAGCACTTCAATTTGGCAGATGTAACAGCACATACTGTATGAGAAAGTGCACTCACATATGCATGGAGAGGCATGTATGATAAAACCACAAATACACACTCGCGCCGAAATGAATATTTGTCCTTCGTTTTCAAATCTGCTCAGTGGCTTTAAAATTTGGATAACTCATCCCTTTCTACAAAGCCCTATTTCTTTTCTTATCTTTCTTTTCATAGACAGAAAGTCATCTGGCACAGTAAAGTCATCTGTAAAGGAGACTGATGGCTAACAATTGATGTGCCAATCCCGTCTAGACAGCCGGTACTTCATCCAATTATGTTGGGAATACAAACATGATCGCAACAACAATGGCAGGATTACCAACACCATAAAGAGGAGAGGAAGAAGTGGAGGAAGACAAGTGATGAGGATGAAATTGACAAAGGAAGGATAGACGAAGACAAGCCTGGTCTCTGGAAGACATGATGGTATCAATAGTGAGAGATGTTGATTTTATTTAGAGGGAGGAACAAAATACCAATAAATGTGTCCTCTTGCCATGGTGCCATTGAGAGGCCATAAGTGATACGAAGGCTTGTGATTGAATTCATGTGTGTAGCATAGAACATGTCAATATTGAGACGTTAACTCACATACGGATCCTTGCACACACAAACACACACACACACACACACACATTCAATTTGTTGGTGTTGCACAGCACAAGGAGGACTAGCAGAAGCATGAGATGTCAGTGGAATTTTGTTTAACAATCTTCTGACTTCTACCAGAGTTTTATCTAATAATTTTCATAATCTTCACAGTGTTATATGAAAAGGGATAAGAACAGAACACACCTGCCTGCTAAATTTTAGCATCCTTAAGGTTGTTTATGCTGTTTTGATCAAAAAGAACACTCATACAATACTATTTTGCAAATTAAAGGCAATGTATCAGCATCAGCTTCCCAGTCAATGCTTCTTTAGGAAGGCAGCCATTTTGAATTGAATATGAAAATTTTCACCATTTACAGCAAAATTAAACACTTTTCTGCTTGGGCCCTAAAAACTAAAATATTTAAATAGAAAATTTAATATGACGTAAAGGACCTAAAAATCACAATCCCCAAAACCATACCAGTGTACACAGTTTACCATAGACAATATTTGTATTTAGTTTAATTCTGAATTTCTGCACCTTTTATGTTTTCATTCATGCTCTTAGGAAAAGTGCTGGACATAGTTCTGAATCAGGTTATGTTTCAAAGATATCACTTAATAATACATGCCCTTTAGGATTTGTGGTAGAAATAATAAAATATTGATTTTTCATTTGACATTCTGCGATGCAATTAAAGAAGACCCTGGACTAAAAAGTTAGAACCCAGCCTGTGACGTCTAATGGCTGTGTGGAGATTTTATTTGGTGTGGGGGAACAAAAAATGCTGACGTAATGTCTGATGGCCAGCTCCACAAATAGGCATCCCGCCAGACAGTTAAAGATGATATGTGGATAGATCAGCCTCTTTAAAAAGGCTTGCACTGGCTCAAACCAGTCTGAAATTCTATTGCTCAGATGAGTGAATGTCAGGAGGAGCAGATTGGTGTGCTTGCACTTTTGTATGTTTGTGTGTGTTCATGTTTTTAATTTCTCTATCCACTACCTTGTTTACTTACCCCCCTTCTGATGCAGTGTTTTTTGGGAGTCTGTCCTCCGTTTTCTCCCTTCATTTGATATAGCACAAAATGTAAACCACCTTTTCTGGTATGTCCCTCAAGGTTGTGTCACCAGGTGCTGGCCACTTCTTTTCTTAATTCTGCCAGTATTTCAGTAGTCTTAGTTAGTTGAAGCAACCGCCTCCACATTTCAGTTTTGCTGATGTTTTTGGCCAGTCCTCAGATGCATTTGTTGATAAAGGTCATTCTGTTCTTAATGGTGATTGTTCTGTTTTATCAGTAGGAGAGATGTTAAATCTGAAATCTATTCTTGAGCTAGATAAATAAGAGCTTTTGCATCATTTTATCTCTTTTATGTCTATTTTATGTCTTGGATACTTTAATTCTGATGATGCTAATGCTAAAACCGTGTGTTAAGCTGGTTGCTATGGCTTTATAATTGACAAGATCCAAGATTGTCTTACTTTACAGGGTCATAGCTAACATCCTAACACTGCCATTTATGGGGTGCAAGTGATGTGCTGATAAATTGATGATTTGTTCCCACTGTGCAGTACTACACATTGTGTGTCTTTGAGTCTGACTGCCTAATTTGAGCTTCTGTTTAACCTCATGTTCTTTTTTTCTGCCAGTTGTAAAAAAACTATGGATTGGCTGAAATATTTCACTGTTAAAGCAATGCTAAGTGTGATTGTTAAGTGGCACTGCATCTGTAAATACACAACTCCCATTCTGACAGCGAGAGTCAAGTCTGTAGGTTTTTGGCTATGTCACCCACCAGGACAGATCCTGTCAGTGATTGTGGGACAATTATAATTATGATAATTATACTAATTTCCAAACTTGTAGTAAAGCATGGCATAAAGATTATATCAAAGATAACAAAGGGGTTATGCTAATTTGTAAATGTAAATTCCAGCTCTATAGAATGGGGCAGGATGATCGACAGTGCAACAGTGAACACACAGGTGTATCTGGGTACATTACAACATTGGTTTCAATTTCGATAGGCTTCCTCATTCCGTATGCGGCGCACCTGCGGCTGAAAACGGAATCACAGGTGGAAATCGCGAGTGCTGTGTCATTTCGGTAAATTTACAAATCATAGCCCACTGCTGATGGAGAAAGTCAACAGGTCCGACTAATACAGGGAAAGAGGAAAGAGGAAAAAAATAGAGAAAGAGGAAGGGCAAGCCACTGTGTTTGCAGCAGAGGTGTATGTGTGTGCTTGTGAGGGAATATTAGAAGTGAATGCAGAGAGAGCAGATTCAAGTAGGCTAGTGAGTAAACATGAGAGTGAAACAGAATTGAAATGGTTAAATTAGGAATATCCTAGGCTACTAGAAACTATAGTACTAGAAAAATATATTGTCATTCTGTTGGAAACACTGAATATAGGCTATATAAATAAAGTTACAAATAAATTGTTTTTAGGACGGGGCATAAGATGAGGTTTTGGCACTTGTACAAGTTTAATATGGTTAGCTATAATAATAATATGCCTAATAATAATAATAAATATGAAGCATTTGGCCCAGTTAGATCCTGAGATGGGCTGACCAACTCAATAAGGTTACTTAAATTGGGATATTCAGTCAAAATTAAACACCTCATTATCAGAGAGAGTGCAACATAAGTTGATTGTCCGGTTTCTAATTAACTCTGCAGTAGAGAAAGACAGCAACAGCAGACAAACAGACAGAGAGCAAACAGACATACTCAGATGGACAGCCATTGTTTAAACTGTATGTGTAAATTTGTTATAAATGTCTGTTCTTAAAAAAATATTGAGCATTGTGTGCTAGTAACATACATTAAATGTTACAAATCTGTAACATACAGTAGGCCTACTGCTAATATTATTTCACCATCTGTACACAAATGTAGCCGAAGTAGTGAATGTGTGTTTGTGAGGGGGATCCGTGGTAATGAGGGCTTGTGTGGCAGCAGTGCCAGGGCTGAATTTATGTCCCAATCTGCTCAGTTATTGCCATCCAGATATCTCTCATCTCATCCTACATCGCCGTCTGACCACTCTAAAGATTGCACAGCTCCAGCTCTGATAAGCTATGTAACTCATATCACCCAATCAAAAATCACAGAGTTATTAGCCGGATAATAATCACACACCTATATAAATATACAGTTACAACCGCTGACTTTTGCCGTTTTCGCTGTTTTAAGTCCAAAAACAGCTGTTTTCTGTGTGAAATGGTGAAAAGATCGCCTGGGCCGCCATCTTGGTATTGCGCAACCCCTGAGCTCTTAGGTTTCATTTCTCTCCTCAAAATGAAGGAGAGAAGAAGTGTTGCTTTGGAACACAACTGTTTTTATTCTCATCTACTGGCCGACTCATAGGAGCTACCCAACATCCAATATATCAAACGATTAATCAATACAAAGAGAAAGAGTCCATTTAGCCCTGTACGCTGTTTCTCAAGTGGTGGGCCTCTAAAGCATGGGAGTGCTTTCAGTCATAGGAATGTTGATCAATATTCACTGTTTTTATCAATATTTCAATGTTTTGGAAGCTTTATCTTATTTGGAACGTGGTTGTATGGACAGAAATAGTGTGTTGAAGAAAACTCCCAATAAAGTGAACATCTAAACAATAAATATGGCTAAAACATGGACATTTTTGAAAAATTGTGTAACTGTTGTATATTTTCTTTTCAAGAAATTTACAATTACAGTTGTATTCCAAGTGCATTAGAAGATGTTCAGTTGCATTATAATCTACAGGATGATGGTCTTGATGGTGATATTTCAGATAACATTTGGTCCCACTCAAAAATAGAGTAAAATGTACTCTATGGCCAGTGTCAACTTTTCAGAGTTATTTCTGCTCAATTCAGTGTCAAAATTAACAATGAAAAGTGTAAAGCCATTTAACGTTTTTTCACACTGTTCAGAGTAATATGATTACACTTTATAGAGTTAATTTTACTTGTTTTTAAAATGACTCTCTAATGTGTAATAATACATTTTTATTTCTCTACAGTGTTATTTATTACATCTAGGTCATATAATGCTATTTTACTATTATGTTATCATTGAATTTGAATTGCTATGATCTAATCTCCATCCATCGTCAACCGCTTATCCTGCATACAGGGTTGCGGGGGGGGGCTGGAGCCAATCCCAGCTGACATCGGGCGATAGATACATCCTGGACAGGTCGCCGGTCCATCGCAGGGCCACACATAGACAGACAACCACACACGCTCACACCTAAGGACAATTTAGGGTCACCAATTAACCTAGTCAGCATGTCTTTGGACGGTGGGAGGAAGCCGGAGCACCTGGAGAGAACCCACGCAGACCAGGGGAGAACATGCAAACTCCAGGGCCTCCGGGGCAATCTGGGTTTGAACCCGCAACCTTCTTGCTCTGAGGCGACAGTGCTAATCACTGCACCACCGTGCCGCCATGATCTAATTGTAGCATGGCTAAATTAGTTATGAATTTTGAAAAATTTATGAGAATTAATACCCAATAATGAATTTAAATAATTCATAAAATCAAAAAAATATTCCTCGTTTCAGGGCACCACCGGAGTTGTTATAATCCTAGAGTCTCCGGACCTCTAGGTAGCTTTTAATAATTATACAATTATTACTAGTAATCAGTTAGTTAATAATCACTAATAATTATCTTAAATCAATCAGTCAGTCTCATATCTAAAGGGTCAATTCTCTTGGCAGGGACGTGGAAATAGGCAACTCACACAGTTTCCTGATTACAGTTTAGGAGTTAAAAGGAAATATTAACATTACGGGACATCTCTGACCTGATCTGAATGTTGTTAGGTCTTACGGCTTGTCGGCCTGCTTTGGCTTGGTTGCACGGGTCCCATGCTAGCTGCCCGATAATGGCTTTTTGCTAGGGATTCTCCGGGGTTCTCCGTGTCTG